TATATATATATTGCTATGTAATTGTGTGTATCATAAACAAAGTTTGTTCGAAATTGCACTATAAGTCATTATTGAGTAATTGACTTCACTTTGTCTCTTTTCCTTTATCTTTGAAAATACTTATATTTATTCATATTCATGGAAAGCAAACATGGATATTTCACAAAGCAAACTTGGATCAAATTTCAATTGTAAAAATATTTGTTTAGTTGATTCAGGTACGACACATACAATATTCAAAGAGAAGAAATATTTTTCTCATTTAAGTATGTGTAAGACATATGTTACTACAATTTCTTATAGTAGTAAATTAATTGAAGGCTCCGGAAGAGCTACTACAACTCTGCCTAAAGGAACAATACTTATTATAGAGAATGCAATATTCTCCTCCAAGTCCAAGAGGAACTTGTTAAGTTTTAAGGATATCCGTCGAAATGGATATTATATTGAGATAATAGATGAGGATAATCTTGAATATCTCATCATTACTAAGAATGTCTCTGGCCAAAAAGGGTTATTGAGAAGTTTCCATCTTTATCTTGTGGCCTGTATTGGACAAGAATTAGTGCAATTGAGGAATATTCTATTGTAAACCAAAAGGTTACTAATTTCAATACTTTTGTACTTTGGCATGACCGATTGGGACACCCTGGATCAATTATGATGAGACAAATTATTGAAAACTCAAATGGGCATCCATTAAAAAATTTAAAGATTCTTTTAAATAATGATTTTTTCTTGCACTTCTTGTTATCAAGGCAAGTTAATTATTAGACCATCACCAATAAAGGTTGGAATTGAGTCCCCTGCATTTTTGGAACGTATACAAGGAGACATTTGTGGACATATTTACCCACCTAGTGGGTCGTTTAGATATTTTATGGTCTTAATAGACGCATCTTCCAGATCGTCCCATGTGTTCTTATTGTCATCTCTCAACCTCGCGTTTGCAAAATTAATGGCACAAGTAATTCGATTACGGGCACAAATTCCTGATAATCCAATTAAGTCTATTAGACTTGATAATGCTGTTGACTTTTCATCTCAAGCATTTAATGATTATTGCTTCTCGATTGGGATAAAAGTGGAACATCCTGTAGCTCATGTTCGCACTCAAAATGGTCTTGCAGAGTCTTTAATTAAATATCTGCAATTGATAGCAAGACCGTTACTCATGAAAATGAGGTTGCCCACTTCTGTTTGGGGTCATGCCATTTTGCATGCAGCAATGCTAGTTCGTCTCAAACCGATAAATTATCATAAATATTCCCCGTTGTAATTAGTTTTGGGTCATGAACCTAATATATCCCATTTAAGAATCTTTGGATGCGCGATATATGTGCATGTAGCACCGCCATATCGCACCAAAATGGGTCCGCAAAGAAGGTTAGGAATATATGTTGGGTTTGAATCGCCCTCCATTATTCGCCACCACGAAACATTGACGAAGGATTTGTTTACTGCATGATTTGCAGACTGTCGATTCGATGAGATATTTTTCCCAAAATTAGAGGGAGAAGTTGGTGAAACCAAACGAAATATTTTGTGAAAAAATTCATCATTATATCATCTTGATCCGCGTGCCTCTATTTGTAAAAAAGATGTACAAAAGATTATCCATTTGCAAAGAATAGCAAATCAAATATCATACGTATTTACGGATTTGAAAAGGATAACAAAATCACATATCTCTGCAGAGAATGTTACAATCCGTATTGATGTCCCTATTGGATAATCTTCTAGTGTCATAGCTAATAAGTCAAAAGCACGCCTAAAACGTGGTAGACCATTAGGTTCCAAAGATCGAAATCCTAGAAAAAGGAAAACAAATGATCAAAATGACACTACGAAAGAATCTCATGAAGAAATCCACGATTTAATAAATTCTGAGGTTCATGAAGAATCCACTGAGCCCGAGACTCAAGAAAATAAGGAACTATCAATAAATCCAATTGATATTGAGACAAATTTGAATCGAGTGTATATAGTAGTGGATTATGTCTTTGCATATAATGTTGCATCTAGCATTATGCAAGAAAGCGAGGATCTTGAACCTCAATTTGTTGGAGAATGTCGACAAAGACTTAATTGGCCAAAATGGCAAGAAGCAATCGAATCAGAGTTGAATTCAGTTGCAAAACGTGAAGTTTTTGGGCATGTAGTCCAAACACCTAATGGTGTTAAGCCTGTTCGCTATAAATGGGTCTTTCTACGCAAGAGAAATGAGAAAAATGAGGTACAAAGATATATGGCACGTTTTGTTGCACAAGGATTTTCACAAAGTCCTGGTGTCGATTATGAAGAGATATATTCACCCGTTATGGATGTTATAACGTTCCGTTATCTCATTAGTTTTGTTGTCCATGAAAAGCTTGACATGCATTTAATGGATGTCGTTACCGCCTACTTTTATGACTCACTTGATAATGAAATATACATGAAAATTCCCGAGGGATTCAAAATTCCTAAAGCAAATAATTTAAAGTCCCGGGAAATATTTTAAATCAAATTGCAAAAATCGTTGTATGGTCTAAAGCAACCAGGACGAATGTGGTATAATCGTCTTAGTGAGTATTAATTAAAGAAAGCTATAAATAATGCCATTTGCCATGTGTTTTTATAAAGAAAACAACATCAGAATTTGTTGTACTTGCCGTATATGTTGATGACATAAACCTTATTGGAACTCCTACAGAACTCCAAAAGGTAATTGACTATTTAAAGAAAGAATTCGAGATGAAAGATCTCGGAAAGACAAAATTATGTCTTGGTTTACAAATTGAACATCTGGCAAACGGAATTTTTATTCATCAATCTGCCTATATAGAAAAGGTATTGAAATAGTTTTACATGGATGGAGCATATCTTTTAAGTACTCCGATGGTTGTTCGATCACTTAATATGAATAAGGATCTATTCCAACCTAAAGAAGAGAATGAAGAGCTACTTGGTCCTGAAGTGCCATATCTTAGTGCAATTGGTGGCTAATGTATCTTGCAAATACTACAAGGCCTGACATAACCTTTTCAATTAATGTCTTAGCAAGATATAGCTCTGCTCCTACAAGGAGACATTGGAATGAGATCAAACACATATTATGATATCTAAAAGGAACTGCTGATATGAGCTTATTTTATGGCAATAATTACAGTCCTAATCTTTTGGTTATGCCGATACTGGGTATTTATCTGACCCACACAAGGCTCGGTCTCAAACAGGTTATGTGTTTACCTGTGGAGGCACTGCCATATCTTGGCGATCGACTAAGTAATTAATTGTGGCTACTTCATCTAATCATGCTGAGATAATTGATATTCATGAAGCAAGTCGAGAATGTGTGTGGTTGAGGTCTATAATACATCTTATTCGAGACAAATGTGGTTTGAAATGTGACAAACTACCCATAATTTTATATGAAGATAATGCAGCATGCATAGCTCAATTGAAGGAAGGATTTATAAAAGGAGATAGAACAAAGCACATTTCACCAAAGTTATTTTTCACACATGATCTTCAAAAGAATGGTGATATCAATGTGCAACATATTCGTTCAAGTGATAATATGGCTGATTTGTTCACAAAATCTCTACCGACATCAACCTTCAAGAAGCTAGTGTACAAGATCGGGATGCGAAAGCTCAAGGAAGTGAATTGATGCTCTCATCAGGGGGAGTTAATGCACGCTGCACTCTTTTTCCCTTACAAGGTTTTGTCCCACTGAGTTTTTCTTGCGAGGTTTTTAACGAGACAACCAAAAGGCGTATTATTAGATATGTGTACTCTTTTTCCTTTTCTAGAATTTTTTTCCCATTGGGTGTATTTTAGTTACGGTTTTAGCAAGACACATTACTTATTGAGTAGATATATATATTTAATAATTTTTTTAATATAAATTATTATTTGAGCAAAAACTATTGTCTTTTCACTGAATTTGCTAGGGTTCTAACTTCGCCCCTGATATTATTCCCACAGTTTAATTTTCAAGAGAGAGGCCTTATCTCTCTGACTCTCCTGCCTGCAAAAAGACATTAAACACAAGAAGCCTGTGTTCTTTAACCGCTATCTCCTCATTATATATATTATTATTACTCATAAATACTCACTCACTCTCCATTTAAAAACCCAACATAATCGTCAAGTAGTAGTACAAATTGTTCTCTCACACCCACAAGTGGAAAGTTACCAAAAAAGAATACAAACTTTATTATGTATTTTTATAATAATATAGATAGACAAAAAATTTCGAGAGTCGGCAGCAACTCTAGGTTGAAACATAACACGTTAAACTATCGATAGTTTCATAGATCAACTCTGAACGAGGACGTTGAAATTGTTTGCTGCTGTTGTGTAAGTTGAAGTTCTGATTATGAAGTTGAGTTGTACAAGATGAATCACTCTGTTCCTGATTTCGAAATGGATGACGACTACCCGAATATTCCCAAAACTTCTGGTATCACCACCCCGTCAAAAAAGTCCCCAGTGTAAGTTTCATGAAATATTTTTATTTTTTAGTATGGTATTTGAAATTTACTGATTCAACAAGTCTGATCAATGCGTATCTTCCGACAGAATGGATGAAGATATAATGGAGCTAATATGGCAAAATGGACAAATAATTGCCCAAAGCCAAAATCAAAGATCTCAAACGGTAGCAGCTTCAGCTCCACCAATATTTATACAAGAGGATGAAATGGCCACGTGGCTTCAGTATCCACTTGACGATTCTTCTTTCGAGCGTGATCTCTATGCCAATTTTCTCTATACTACGCCGAGCTCCTCTATTGTCACCGCCGCCGTGCCGCCGCCGGGAGAGATTGATACTACCACGGCGGAGATCCGTCCGAACCAGCCTCCGCCTCAATTGAGATGTACTGAGGGCCAATTTTTACATAGCTTACAGAATTTCGGGGATTTTTCACGATTGCCTAAAGCAAAATCGCAAAATTATACATCGAGTTCTGGTAACACAGCTACGGTATCAACGATTGTCGATTCGAATGAAACTCCAATTGCAGAGTTTTCACGCGTATCGGATAAAGTAGCGCCAGTTTCTGCCGGGAATGACGAAGGAAAGGCCACGACTGATACTACTACTGCGACGGCGGCGGAAACAACCAGCGGCAGGGAAACGTCGACGACGGCATGTGAGTTCACGGGGACGTCATCGGCAAGTGGCTCGAGAGGTAGTGTAAGTGCCAGTGCGGATCCACCGCCGCTGCAGCCTCCACAGGAGGCGGCGCTTATGCCGGCGGAGGATCGGAAACGGAAAGGAAGAGAAAGGGGAACGGAGGACAATGAAGAACATAGGGAGGTGGGTAAGCAGCTAGATTAGTTTCTGGTTGTTTTATCTTCTCAGAATTCCCTAAATTTTTTAATTAAAATAAGTAGTCTTATGTCTGTTTAGTTAAGTATTACTCTATTTAATAATTAGGAAAAATAATATTGTATAGTTGCTATCAAAATAATAATTAAATATATATTATTTAAATTTTATATACTTTTCGATTATCGAATATAAATAATTTTGTCACAAATTAAAAGTGAAAGGCACATTAACTTATGATAAACTGATAAGATTCGTTTTATTAGCTGAATCTCACCATTAAATTTTGTTTACAAATGATAGTGTACGCTAACCTTATTTTTATCTTACGGATGTAGAGAGCTTTGATAGATCATTCGCTTAAAAAAATATAATCCCAATATTTTTTAAAAAGAAATACAGAGTGGAAAAGTCATATAAAAAGTTAGTAATAACAAAAAAATAAAATAACCGAATTGGAAAAAATAATATAGTAATAAAAATTTAAGACTAAAAAAATACGAGAATAATATTAATATTAATTTATTTAAAAATAAGCCAATAGTAACTTGTTTGATTAATTAAATTGTATTGAACTATAATATATATATATATATATATATAAATTATTTTTTCAATGCATTATAATATAATGCACTAAATTATCAAATGTGGTAAGTATCCTATTTATTACAAATAATATTAGAAGTTACTTTATCATTTTTATTATCAGCAAAAAATTATATTCCCTTCTTTTCAATTTATGTAAATATATATATATATTTCTTTAATTCGTGCAAAAAGAATAATTTTTTGTTATATTGAGAATAAATTATTTTTATGTGATAATTTATATTTATACAAAATATATGTATCCTATTTTATAGTACAATTTTTTTTAAAAAATCTTTTAAATTTTGTGCCTAATTAAATACTCATTTTGTTCACTTTTTATTATTCACTTTTGATTTTGTACTCCCTGTAACAAGAATAAATAAGGTATATATTTTATATTTTCCTATATTAATAACGATATTTCTAAAAATCTCAAAAAATAAATTAAGGAAATAAAATAAAAAGATATTGTCTTTTTTTTATTTAATATAATGAACGAATAAAAATAAAATATATATTTTACTATAATGACCCAGTAAAAGCAAACGGGATGAGTAGGAAACAAAGGGAATATATTATTGTCGGTCCAAATAACATTTGTTAAATGCTCATAAAATGAAGAACATATTCCAACGGATAAAATCACACTGTATTTTTGCACGTTGGGTGTGTTCAGTATTGGGAAGTGGTTTTGTCGTTTACTGTATTTTTTCACACATTTAGCGCTTCGGAGAATTCGTGGCCAGAAGAAAGCCACGTCAGCATCATATCGTAAAATAATGCCAGGTGGCATAATAGGTCAACAGAGTATCTTAACTTTGAAACGTGTATTGTTGTTCACCACAAATTAGCTACACAGATTCTCATGCTACTAATAGGTCGATGAAGCACCTTGTTGGAACAATCACAAAGTACAAATTCTACTTGTCATCCCAATTTATTGGGCGAAAAGAGGGTTGATCTGATGGTAAGCAACTCTCACTTCCAATCGAGAGCTTATGAGTTCGAGTCTCTCCAAGAGTAAGGTGGGAAGTTCTTGGAAGGAAGAATGTCGGGGTCTATTTGAAAATAGCCTCTCTATCCTAGGGTAGGGGTAAGGCCTGCATACATACTACTCTCTCCAGACCTCATTAAATGAGATTATACTGGTTTGTTGTTGTTGTTGTTGTTATATCCCAATTTATTGGGCATTCCCCTCTCTCCCTCTCTTCTTTTGTTGTTGTTTTCAATTACTAGTATATTCCTTCCATCCTATTTTACGAATATAAATAATACCCTTAATAAGTTATAAATATTTATATAATTATGAGTTATTTTATTCAAAAAAGTTAAATTATTTTTTAAATATAATAATATTTTATTTTTGTGACAAACTAAAAAGAAAAGTCAATATCGGCTTTTATTTAATGTATAAAATTATTCGTCAAATTGAATTTCTCATTTTTCGTAATAGTATCAACGCCTTTCACCTTAAAAATAATATTTTTTTCCCTCTAAATGGCATCAATATTTAAAATCATATACTAGTAGTTTCTACTATATATAAATAATATTAGATAAATTTAAAAAATTATACTCCATTCATCTCACTTTATGTGAAAGTTTTAGGTGACAAAGGTAAATGTACCTAATTTTAAAATTAGATTTACATATTTAAAAACTACAGGAAAAGTATTATCATAAGTCAACATAGTTAATAATTTCAAATATTTTAAAAACGACGGGAGAAAATTGTTGTCAAAGAGAAATATGCTTTTCTCCCCAAATATTCATACTTTCACGTCAAATGGGACGAGAGAAAATTAAAGTTTATTTATTGTATTATATAGTATTTTCATATTTTCATATTCTTGCTTGAGTATATCATTGCTAGTTATCATAAATCTGTTGGTTTTCAAGACCTTGTGGTATAGGGGGAAGTGAAGCAATAGCCACCTTTTAGCTCGATATTTAAAATATATTTATAATTTATAATATATTTAAATATTTGTTAATTCACCCTAACTTCAGGACTAATAGGTACCTTGAATTTGGAAATTCAAGATTTAGTGGGCGTTTGGACATAAGAATTGTAAAATTTCAAAAAACAATGAAATTTTTTTAAAGTGAAAAATGGTATTTGAAAAATTATAGTTGTGTTTGGACATGAATATAATTTTGGGTTGTTTTTTAAGTTTTATGCGTGATCTAGGTGAAAATTTTGAAAAATAGATTTTTGGAGTTTTTAAAATTTTCAAAAAATTCCACAATGCATCTTCAAGTAAAAAAATTTTATGTTCAAATGCTGACTTTAAAAAAAAGTGAAATTTTTTCGATAAAAAATAAAAATTTTCTTATGTCCAAACGGACTCTTAGTGTCCTGAATTTTGTAGTTGCTAATTTGAAATTAAGGACTAAGTGTCCTGAATTTCTAAACTACTAATTTAAAATTCACGACATAAGATTCGAACTTCTGGACATAATTTTCGAACTTTGAGTTTTAAACTCTAAGACGCCGTGTCCTGAACTTTGAGCAAAATTGGCTAATTTTTAAATACATGGTAAATTGTGGATATATTTTAAACAACATACTTAAAAGTGGCTACCCGGTGTCATTTCCACGTGGTTTAGCCTAATTGAAATACATTGCGAGATGCATTTGAAGATTGTGTTGAAGATGCCAGTAGCTCTGTCTCTCCTTCATCTAGATTATAGTCTGGAGAATGACATGAGGAATGCAAATCTGCAATTTTATTGAAAGTAATAAGTTCAGCAGCACTTAAGTTGAACTGTCTATTTAAGGTATGAAACAGATGATTAGGAGCAATGGAAATGTCTATGAGTATATATAAACTAACATGATTTTCAATGTACAAATAAAATAACTAGTGACTGCAGGAGGGAGTAGCACATTTAAGACCGCAAGATTTAAAAGTCTTTCTTACTTTTCTTTAAATTTTATACCCAATCAAACTAAGACACATAAATTGAATCGAAGTGAGTGAGTATCATAATTCTAATTGTTTTTCGAAAAATATGTGCTGGTTCAGATTTTCCTTTATTATGTCATTAACTTTTGCTTTATTTCTACTGTCTTAGGATGCTGAATTTGAGTCAGCTGATGTAAAGAAGCAAACCAGCAGTTCTACATCCACAAAGAGATCTCGTGCCGCAGAGGTCCATAATCTTTCTGAAAGGGTATATACTTTTCCAAGTCTCAGTCTGAAGGTTTTGAATCTTTTGATGGTATAACTATTTTTCTAGTATGATTGGGTAGTAAATATGTGAATGCAGAGACGTCGAGATAGAATAAATGAGAAGATGAAGGCTCTACAAGAACTCATACCGCGGTGCAATAAGGTTTTTACACTATGTTCTGTTCATCAGAGTACTGCTCTTAATGGAAAGTGAATTATTAATGTTCTCATATTATAGTTACTCTTTTATCAACTTTCAGTCAGACAAAGCTTCAATGCTAGATGAAGCGATTGAGTACCTTAAATCATTGCAAATGCAAGTGCAGGTAATACTTGTTGGCATTCTCTTTTCTCTCATTGATAACTTATCTAGTATTTTTAGTATTTTGATTGTATGAAGTTTTTCAATGATAAATCGTTTTCATCATATTGTGTTATTTATTTTACTTGTTCTACAAATAGGAAAAGTATGCTGAAAATATATTTCCCAAAATGAAGATTGACCAAGTCAAACAGGATAACTTCCTAGTGTAGAAAATATGGAATTTAGATTTTCAAAAGTTCTAAGTCATGTATCAGTGTGGAATAATTCTGATCCAATATCAGGATCTTTGATACTCTGAATTATAAGGGATGTGAATTACTTTTTTTTTTTTCCATTTTGATGCTTCACCTTTTAAAGTTTCCTTCTTTACAGCAGTTTACTCCAATGCCGAGGAGATCTTTGGTGTTATAAAGGCTCTTGGCAGTTTTAAATTTATGAAAATCATATTATGTTTGAGGTCATAAGTGGTTAGGTAGTTGTAGAACAACTTCACCAATCAAATTTCATTGGAAGGAAGCATTAACTGATTAATGGGAAGGACCAATACTTTTTAGTATAATAGACTAGGAACCGGAAAATCCAAGTCTCTCGCTTTGGCTCAAGAAGGGGGCAGTCCGGTGCACTAAGCTCCCGCTATGCGTAAGGTCCAGGAAAGGGTTGGACCACAAGGGTTTATCATACACAGCCTTACCCTGCATTTCTGCAAGAGGCTGTTTTCACGGCTTAAAACGGTGAACTCCTGGTCACATGGCGGCAACTTTACCGGTTATGTCAAGGCTCTCGCTTTGGCACATCTACTGGAAATAATTCAGTGTATGACATATTTCTGTTATTCCAGAATTCGTTAACTTATTCTTGGTGCTGCTTTATTATGTCGTTATTTATCCTGTTCATGTTATATATGCTCCTGCTCGTAAGTTGACATGTGGTGTATCTTCATTTAAGCTGCTAGGGAAAAAAATTAAGTGGTCAGTTTAGGACACAGTTTGATCATAGCTACTTGTCTGCAGATGATGTCCATGGGATGTAGCATGGTCCCTATGATGTATCCTGGAGTCCCGCGATACATGCCAACGATGGGAATGGGTATGCGTATGGGGATGGGTACGGGAATGGGCATGAGCCGGCCAATGGTGCCATATCCATCTCTAGTTCCAGATCTGGCAATGCAGAATGCAGCTGCAGTAGCACAAATGACTCCTAGATTTCCTGTTCCAGCATATCATTTGCCGTCAGTTCCTGTACCTGATCCGTCCAGAATCCGAGCAGCAAACCAGCCAGATCATCCAATGATGAACTCACTTGTTGGACATAACACTAATCAGCCCAGACTTCCAAATCTTAGTGATCCATATCAACAATATTATGCTCTACACCAGGCACAAGTGTTACCACAGGCAAGTCCTTTGTTCTTCTCACTCATTATATTTGTTTATTGTTTTTTTCTGCCCCGCCCCTTAGTTTCTTAAATCTAAATGTTTTGGAGTTCAATAGCAGCTCCTGCACTCATTAATCTTGCACCTTCTAACATCTCGAGCTTTGTTTGTACCTTAACCTCGGTACACTTCACACTCATTCAATAATGAGAAAAATGCTGAAACCCCAACTAAATCTTGATTCACATACATATTCATATTGTCATTATGACGATAATCATGTGGAACTATCACCCAGAATTGCATCTTGCAACAGAGACTAAAATTAATATCAACTGTGGTCAACCGTCTAAAACAGCTTGTTTTCTCATTACCTTAATTTGTTGCATATTCTTTTGAAAAAACATTTCATAATACACAGCTTTTGAATGCAGAATCAGCGAGCGGAACAGCCAAGCAGCAGTAACCCAAGCAGCCGCATAGAAGAAAGTCCAGCAAATCATCAAACTGGTAAGTTTATGATTCAGATGCTCATACTTTTTACATATTACATTATTATGACAAGAGGGGCTTGGTCTGATGGTAACCAACCCCCACTTCCAACCGAGAGGTTGTGAGTTCGAGTCTCCCCAAGAGCAAAGGTGGGAAGTTCTTGGAGGGAAGGATGCCGGGGGTCTATTTGGAAACAGCCTCTCTACCCCAGGGTAGGGGTAAGGTCTGCGTACACACTACCCTCCCCAGACACCACTAAGTGGTATTATACTGGGTCGTACTTTTTTATTATTATGGTTGTTATACCAGACTGAAGGTTAAGGAAAAAATTTGTCAACAGCGAAAGGGTGGCAAAAATAAGTGCATCTAGTATCTTACATTGTTAACTTGTTACTCCCGTGGTTTCATTTATATGGCAGTATTTGACTGAGCACGAAATTTAGGAAAGAAAAACTTAAATCTTAGAACTTGTGATCTTAAACATATCTGTGACTATAAGAGCATGTCATTAAGGGTAAAATAAAAAATTGAAAGAGTTTCTACATATAGAAAAGTATCATCCTATTAGAATTGACTAAAAAGGAAAGAGTGCCATATAAAATGGGATAAATGGAGAATGTATTAGTATATGTTCGAGCAACAAGAAGATAGCAAGCATAGAACTTTAACTTAATTGTTTTTAAATCTCTTGCACAAATTACATAAAGGGGAGCCTTTACCGGTTGCTGCCATGTGACCAAGAGGTTCAAGTCATGGAAACAACCTTTTACAGAAATACATACAATAGGTTGTTATGGTCCGAATCCTGCACATAGCGGGGCTTAGTGCACCGAGCTGTCTTTTTTACACAAATTATGCAAGAAGATGCTAAGAAATATTCCCTCTTTTTTACCTAATATGACTTCTTGACTACCAGTGCCAAAATTCAGAAAACTGATATAAACTTGGTATTTTATTCAATTTCTGTGCTTTTGCAGGTTGATGGATCGACCAAGAGAGCTTTTCACCAACCAAATTTTGTAGTGTAAGAGATTTAAGAGAAACAAGAGTGCAGTCTACGCTGGCTCCACTAATACAAGTATAACTTTAGTAATTTGTAATTATTATGATAGAATTAGTATTGCTTTATATATTGTATTTTTATCCCTTTAAAAGTCAACTGCTGGTTGTCAAACTTGTTAGAAATAACCTATCGTCACGTCCGTTCCATTTCCCATTTCCCTTGAAGGTGTGAAGGTATTTTGACTAGACACAGTTTATGAAATTAAAGAAGAGTTATTGGCACGTAAACTAAATATATACAAAGCACCCCATTTATTCTTTCTTCACATGTCTTTCAATTTTCTCAAGAATGAACTTTTAGATCAAGTAGGTCCTAACAAGTCATGTCAAACAAAATGAGGATGCTAAGATAAATAGTTTCCAAAAACAAAAATTTGTCATTCTTTTGGGACAGATTACAGAGAAAAGTACGTCACGTGACATGGGATACAGGGAGTAATACCTTGCAAATCAGGGACCTCTTTAGACAGAGTTAGACAAATAGAGAAACTAATGACTACTGCAAAAATTAGAAAATGACAGATGCTGCAAGATAATCATATCTTTCTTTCCTGGTTTCACCCTTGGTCTAAAAGAGAAAGGAAATATTTTGTCTGAACTTTCATAAATTAAAAAAAAAAAAGTTATCTACACGTTTCATTCAAGGTACAAATAATTGGAAACAGAAGCAAAGGGAAAAATCCACGGGCTCGCGAAGCTTAGAATGAACTAAGCTGCGGGGAGAAAATCAGATTGTTTTGCCTAAGCACAGTGTTTAAGGAGATGCTAAATCTGTGAACTGTCTGCAGTTACATGATCCTAGCAAAATCTTCTTGGTAGATATGATCCCGTGCCCGAACAACTTAACGATAGCTTCTGAAACATGGGGGAAAATCTTCCATTGTTACAATACCATTCATAGTCAAGAAATCATGCTTCTGTTTAAGTCTTCATTGGCTAATCATGGACAAAATCTGCAGTCACATGACATTAAGCAGTACCAAAAAAAGGTTGCCTTGTAAGAATTATTACTATTGAAGTATGATATTATTATATGTGTATTGTCTAGAGGGAAGGGGGATGCCACATTTACCTTTTCACTGAATATGCGAAATTCTTCCTTGTCCATTGCCTTGTCAAGTTCCTGACAAACGATAATAGAAAAATGAAGCAGCATTAACATTCCTATGAGACAACAACAACAACAACCCAGTATAATCGCACTTAGTGGGAGTGGGGTCTGGGGAGGGTAGTGTGTACGCAGACCTTACCCCTACCCTTGGGTAGAGAGGCTGTTTCCAAATAGACCCCCGGCATACTTCCCTCCAAGAACTTCCCACCTTGCTCTTGGGGAGACTCGAACTCACAACCTCTCGGTTGGAAGTGGGGGTTGCTTACCATCAGAGCAACCCCTCGTCTTAACATTCCTATGAGAAAGGGGAAATAATCTAGTCAAAGGGGAGATGAGAGATATTTTGTTCAACCACAGAAATTGTTTGATTCTTGTCTTTCAAAAGATATTCGTAATACTCCAGAATGATCATTTATAGGGTGTAACTAACAATGGATTCATCCCTTCCACTATCTGTTTTCGTTAAGAGTTCTTTGCTTAGTGAGACAACAACAACAACTACCCAGTATATTCCCACCAGGTGGGGTCTGGGGAGGGTAATATGTAGACGAGCCTTACCCCTACCCGAAAGGGCAGGGAGGCTGTTTCCAATCGACCCTCGGCGCATAGGATAAAAAGAAAAGCAGTATAAAAACAAAAGCAAAGACAAAATTAGAAACAAAAACAAAACAGAACAAAACAATAAAGCATTAGTAAATCCCGCAGAAATAACGTAAATAATTATGTACACATAAGAAACATAAATACAGTCGCATGCAATAATAACAAACAGTAACTACCATACCCACAACCATAAGGGGGACATAACCTAAAACACAAGTAAGCCTGCTGACCCACAACCAACCCCGGATGTGGCGAACGAAGGACTCTAAGAGCCCCTAGCCTACAACCCTGATTCTAGACCTCCAGACTCCCCTATCAAGGGTCATGTCCTCGGAAACCTGCATCCTAGTCATGTCCTGCCTAATCACCTCTCCCCAATGCTTCTTAGGCCTCCCTCAGCCTCGCCGACCGCCAACAACCACCAGCCGCTCGCAACTCCTCACCGGGGCATCGGGACCCCTCCTCCGTACATGCCCGAACCACCTCAGCCTCGCTTCCCGCAACTTCTCGTCCACCGGGGCCACCCCTACCTTTTGTCGAATAACTTCATTCTTAATCTTATCTAGCCTGGTGTGCCCACACATCCACCTAAGCATCCTCATCTCCGCAACCTTCATTCTCTGAACATGGGAGTTCTTCACGGGCCAGCACTCCGCCCCATACAACATCGCAGGTCTAACCACGTCTCTGTAGAACTTCCCCTTGAGTTTGTGTGGAATTTTCTTGTCACACAGGATCCCTGAAGCAAGCCTCCACTTTAACCACCCCGCTCCTATCCGATGGGTGACGTCCCCGTCAATCTCTCCGTCCCCCTGAATCACAGACCCAAGATATCGGACGCTGTCCCTCTTGGCGATAGCCTGTGAACCAATCATCACGTCCCCGCCTACCCCGCTCGGTTCGACGCCAAACTTGCACTCCAGGTATTCTGTCTTAGATCTGCTTATTTTGAAACCTTTAGACTCGAGGGTCTGTCTCCAAACCTCTAACCTTTCACTGACGCCGACCCTCGTCTCGTCTATCAATACTATATCGTCAGCAAAAAGCATACACCAAGGCACATCCCCTTGGATATGTCGAGTTAAAGCATCTACCACTAAGGCAAACAAGAGGGGGCTCAGCGCCGATCCTTGATGCAGCCCCATTACCACAGGAAAATGGTCTGCTTCGCCACCCACCGTCCTAACCCTAGTCTTAGCTCCATTATACATGTCCTTGATTACTCTGATGTAGGCTTCCGGCACGCTCTTCGCCTCCAAGCACCTCCAAAGCACCTCCCTCGGGACCTTGTCATACGCCTTCTCCAAGTCGATCAGCACCATGTGGAGGTCCTTCTTCTTATCCCTGAATTGCTCCGCCAGCCGCCTGACTAGGTGAATAGCCTCCGTGGTGGAGCGGCCCGGCATGAAACCGAACTGGTTCCCAGATATAGATGTCAACTCCCTCACCCGCGCCTCAATCACCCTCTCCCAAACCTTCATCGTGTGGCTTATTAGTTTGATACCCCTGTAGTTGTTGCAGCACTGTATGTCCCCTTTGTTCTTGTACAAGGGCACCACTGTACTCCACCTCCACTCATCTGGCATCCTTTTAGTCTTGAAGATCGCGTTGAACAGCCTAGAGAGCCACTCCCCTCCAGACTTACCCATGCACTTCCAGAACTCCACCGGGATCTCGTCAGGCCCGGTCGCTCGACCCCTACTCATCTTACGCAACGCCCCTAAGACCTCCTCCACCCTAATGCGCCTGCAGTACCCAAGGTCTCTATGATGCTCTGAATGCTCCAGCTCCCCTAGCTCTATGCTCCTATCCCCCTCCTCGTTAAGAAGGTCCCGAAAGTACGCTTGCCACCTCTGTTTGATTTGGGATTCCCCCATCAGAACTCTACCGTCCTCGTCCTTGATACACCTGACTTGGTCTAGATCACGTGCCTTCCTTTCCCTTGCTTTAGCCAACCGGAATAACTTCTTATCCCCACCTCTCTCCCCTAGTTCCTCATACATGCGACCGAACGCCGCATTTTTAGCTTCCGTGACTGCCATCTTAGCTTCTCTTCTCGCCTCCTTGTAGATCAACCTGTTCGCTCTCCGCTCCTCCTCGCTTGTGCTCCCTGCCAACCTAGCGAACGCCGCCTTCTTCACCTCCACTTTTCCTTTGACTACCTCGTTCCACCACCAATCCCCCTGATGTCTGCCTGAATATCCCTTAGCTACCCCGAGCACGTCCCTTGCTACCCCCCTAACCAAGTTCGTCGTCGCTGTCCACATAGCATCCGCTTCCCCATTACTTTTCCAAGCTCCGCCCTCCACTAGCCTCCTTTCCAACTCCTGTGCTTTCTCCTTAGACAAAGCACCCCATCTAATCCGCGGTAGACCCCGGGCGCCCCTCCTCTTCCTCTTCGCCCAGAGATCCACATCCAACACTAGGAGTTTATGGAGAGTTGAAAGAGACTCTCCCGGAATAACCTTGCAGTCCTTGCACAAACCCCTATCGCTCCTTCTGATGAGGATGTAATCAATCTGGGTCCTAGCCGCCGAACTCTTGAAGGTGACCAAATGCTCCTCCCTCTTCCGGAATGCCGAGTTCGCAATCAGAAGCTCGGAAGCCCTGGCGAAATCAAGCAGCGAAGAGCCTCCTCCGTTCCTGACCCCAAAGCCGAAGCCGCCGTGCACCTCATCATAGCCACCAGCCTCAGCCCCAATATGACCATTAAAGTCTCCCCCAATAACTAACTTCTCAGATTGGGGAATACTACCCACCAGGTCATCCAAGTCCTCCCAAAAGCGCCTTTTAGCCTCCTCGTCTAAGCCTGCATGCGGCGCGTAAGCGCTGATGACGTCTCTTTGCTTAGTGAGAATAAAAGAATAATAAATAGAAAAGAATAATGGTTTGGGTTATGTATCTACGTCCAATCTACGGCAGGAGAGAAGGTTCTATTGGAACAAATATTATTTCAAGTCCTTTTCCAATTAGCATTTCGACTAAAGTAGCTATTTTCTCCTTTGACTTAACTGCGTACCCTAAATCTATTAAAATAGCACAATATTGGATATTTAATATATATATATA